AAAAAAAAATAACCTTACTCAGCAACACTTTTCTTTGCTCTATGAATGTTGAGACCTCATCAGTTACGTAATATTGCAGTATGAGACAATATTTAGTTCTATAACCATGTGACAATATGTACTTCTATAACCATGTTTTGTAACTTTACAACGTGTCACCATTGCTTTCAGAATAATGCAATAAGTTTCGAATTGATGCCGTGTATGATAGAAATTTCCATAAAGATCTTCATTTGCAAGTCTAAATAAACAATGACAAACAAATATAAGCCATATTCAAATCAACAAGTACAGTACATGGAGAACCAGAGTAAGATAAATTTTCGAATGAACTAGAACTTTAGTTTCCTCTTCCGTCCTGAATACTTCGATTCGTGCCGGACTGTCCTAAAGATAACAGCTTTGTAATTATTGCATTTACGCACATTGCAAACTATAAACCACAGCAAATAGTTAAACAAATAGATTCCATTATTGGGAAAACACGAGTAGAAAGACTGAAGGAATATGAAAGTCCAAAACTATCTGTCAACTGTTAACATCCGAACTCGACAAACTAAGATTCTTGCTTACCTTCCCTGTTTGAGCATGCGTTCCCTCTTTTTTTGAATCCACTCTTTGGTGCCTTTTGAAGGCTTCTTCTCACCTTTGCGAGACATTGAAAATGTCCTTTAATAATCATTTTTACAGCAGAAAGTATCAGGCTTTAGTGATCAAAACACCCAAACCTTCCAGTGTTCTCAACATGGCTACGATTTTGCATTAGCTCTTCTCCACCAGTAAGTGCCTTAGGCAGTTGAGCGATACCTCCAGTCATCAAGACGAGATAAACTCTAAGAAAAAAAACATGTTACGGAATACATTATGTAAGTTGCAAATAATTTTTGGAGGCATATCTGCAAAGAACATTTGGATTTCCAGAAAAAAAGACAACTAAAGAAGACACTTTTTTTGCTATAAAACTTACTTCTTTGCTTTGATGCTGTTCGGATAATCGACTACAAGTCCTCCATTGAAGCCTGCTTTTGTCGCTTGAGACATAATCAAAGCGGACTGGTGCTCATTCTCGGGATAGAACTGGAACACTGCTCGTGTCCCTCGACCCTAAAACGGGTCAAATAATCTTTAAAAAACTGTTTGGCGAAGAAATACCCTAAACTAAATAATGACAGAAATATCTCCAAGCAATATCTTGGCACTCCTTAAAAAGGGTTTTGGTGACTTGTTGCATTATGCCATACGTCAGTACACTACACTAAAACGGTTTGGGTTCTCTGCATTCGCATTAAGGAGCATCGGCAGAAATCAACTTTGCTGTGAACTCATATCCAAAGAAAGCAAAAACGTGTGATTTGATAACACGGGCTCTAAAAACAACGAAACCTTTGGATGAAGCTGAAGACTCGCGATGAATCAGAAATAAGCTCTAATAACGAAAAATGTCTTTTCCTGTGTTTATTTCGACTATTGCAAACATTTGTTCATCATTCTATTAGTTATTAGTCCTACTTAGTAAGATTGAATCATTAGCATTACTGCTGCTGCAGACACTCACCTTTTGATAACGCGTTCGCTTCAATATGCGTCATCAAAAGGTGAGCATCTGCTACAAGTATCGCTAATGACCAAAAACTCCTATAAATTGAAAATGCTAAATTAGAGCTTTGATTCAGTAAAGATGATACATACTGATGGAAGCAGTGAGACAGTGGACCCAAATCGTCTAGCATATTTCTAGCATTCTTTTAGAAGAAGCTGTGGACGTTATTCATCTGTTCGAGATGACTTAACTAATGTGTAAAAATGCTCAGAAGATTGGCAACTTGGGCTTGCTCAGCGTACACCAAGATGGATACTTCGCTTTACGCCAGTAAACGTTTCGGCAGTATTGCCTTCGTCAGCCCGGAAAATCGAACAAACCAGTGAATTATCCATTCAGAACCTATTAATGTTGTCAATCTCATGCCA